AAACCCCCACAATTGTTCACTTTTTAGACATGTTACTTTTGTGATTAGTAATTACTTGGTTATTATTTCTTAGTTCACAAGTAGTTCTCAATGAGGATATATTTCTTTAGTAACAATCAAATACCTACCAAGGAACTACCTTTGTACTAATTACCTATTACTTAATGCTTAGTTAATATTGCTTCCATATTAGTTAATAGTATTAACTTCGGTGTTAATGCAGTACTACCTATTACTTCCTGCATAGCTACTTGTTAACTACTGACCATTATTTTAAAGTGTTACCAGTGTTTTTACTACAGTATTGTAAAACAGTGTTTTTTTGTTTTTGTTTTTTAAACACTACAGTGTTTTTTGTCGTAAAACAATTAGTTTCGTAAGGGTAGCCTACACCTAAACATGAACATCATTACTAAATGGAATGCTGACAAATATGTCATTTGACTTTGCTGCCTGCACATTTTCTATAGCTATAAAAACTACAGTGCTGCAAAAACATACTTCCCTATGTAAAATAATAATTATTGAACCTCCTCACTTGTGCTTTTAAAATACTTGGTAACACTTTAAAATAAGGTTCATTAGTTAACATTAGTAAATGCATTAACTAAACTAACATGAACTAATGATGAGCAATGCATTAGTTACAGTGTTTATTAATCTTTGTTAATGTTAGTTAATATAAATACAGCTGTTCATTGTGCGTTCATGTTAGTTCACAGTGCATTAACTAATGTTAACTAATACAACCTTTGATTTTAAAAATGTATTAGTAAATGTTGGAATTAATATTAACTAAGATTAATAAATGGTGAAGAAGTATTGTTCATTCTTAGTACATGTTAACTAAAATAGTTAACTAATGTTAACTAATGAACCTTATTGTAAAGTGTTACCAAATACTTATTATTCAACCTGCACACTTTTTCTGCCATAGTCTACAGGATGAGATGAGTCCCCAGAATGAGTGTCTTGTGTCTCTGACCCAGCTAAAGTGATCCCAGAGTGGGGGGTGTGAATTCGGCAGAGCTGCCAAAATCATACCCCCCCTATGTTAAATACTTACTATTGAAACTACACATTTGTGCTTTTCTGCAGGTAGTCTACAAGATGAGATGAGTCCCCAGAATGAGTGTCTTGAGTCTGTGACCCAGCTAAAGTGATCCCAGAGTGGGGGGTGTGAATACGGCAGGGCTGCCAAAATCATACCCCCCTATGTTAAATACTTACTATTGAATTTAAATGAATATAGTTTTTTTTACAGGTAGTCTACAGGATGAGATGAGTCTCCAGAATGAGTGTCTTGTGTATCTGACCCAGCTAAAGTGATCCCAGAGTGGGGGGTGTGAATTCGTCAGGGCTGCCAAAATCATACCCCCCTATGTAAAATACTTACTATTGAATTTAAATTAATACAGTTTTTTTACAGGTAGTCTACAGGATGAGATGAGTCTCCAGAATGAGTGTCTTGAGTCTCTGCCCCAGCTAAAGTGATCTCAGAGTGGGGGGTGTGAATTTCGGCGGGGGTGCCAAAATCATAACCCCCTATGTTAAATACTTACTATTGAATTTAAATTAATATAGTTTTTTTTTACAGGTAGTCTACAGGATGAGATGAGTCTTCAGAATGAGTGTCTTGTGTCTCTGACCCAGCTAAAGTGATCCCAGAGTGGGGGGTGTGAATTCGGCAGAGCTGCCAAAATCATACCCCCCTATGTTAAATACTTACTATTGAATTTAAATTAATATAGTTTTTTACAGGTAGTCTACAGGATGAGATGAGTCCCCAGAATGAGTGTCTTGTGTCTCTGACCCAGCTAAAGTGATCCCAGAGTGGGGGGTGTGAATTCGGCAGGGCTGCCAAAATCATACCCCCCTATGTTAAATACTTACTATTGAATTTAAATTAATATAGTTTTTTACAGGTAGTCTACAGGATGAGATGAGTCTCCAGAATGAGTGTCTTGAGTCTCTGCCCCAGCTAAAGTGATCTCAGAGTGGGGGGTGTGAATTCGGCGGGGCTGCCAAAATCATAACCCCCTATGTTAAATACTTACTATTGAATTTAAATTAATATAGTTTTTTTACAGGTAGTCTACAGGATGAGATGAGTCCCCAGAATGAGTGTCTTGTGTCTCTGACCCAGCTAAAGTGATCCCAGAGTGGGGGGTGTGAATTCGGCAGGGCTGCCAAAATCATACCCCCCTATGTTAAATACTTACTATTGAATTTAAATTAATATAGTTTTTTACAGGTAGTCTACAGGATGAGATGAGTCCCCAGAATGAGTGTCTTGTGTCTCTGCCCCAGCTAAAGTGATCCCAGAGTGGGGTGTGTGAATTCGGCAGGGCTGCCAAAATCATACCCCCTCTATGTTAAATACTTACTATTGAATTTAAATTAATATAGTTTTTTTACAGGTAGTCTAAAGGATGAGATGAATCTCCAGAATGAGTGTCTTGAGTCTCTGACCCAGCTAAAGTGATCCCAGAGTGGGGGGTGTGAATTCGGCAGGGCTGCCAAAATCATACCCCCTCTATGTTAAATACTTACTATTGAATTTAAATTAATATAGTTTTTTTACAGGTAGTCTAAAGGATGAGATGAATCTCCAGAATGAGTGTCTTGAGTCTCTGACCCAGCTAAAGTGATCCCAGAGTGGGGGGTGTGAATTCGGCAGGGCTGCCAAAATCATACCCCCCTATGTTAAATACTTACTATTGAATTTAAATTAATTTAGTTTTTTTTACAGGTAGTCTACAGGATGAGATGAGTCCCCAGAATGAGTGTTTTTGGTCTCTGACCCAGCTAAAGTGATCCCAGAGTGGGGGGTGTGAATTCGGCAGGGCTGCCAAAATCATACCCCCCTATGTTAAATACTTACTATTGAATTTAAATTAATATAGTTTTTTTACAGGTAGTCTACAGGATGAGATGAGTCTCCAGAATGAGTGTCTTGTGTCTCTGACCCAGCTAAAGTGATCCCAGAGTGGAGGGTGTGAATTCGGCAGGGCTGCCAAAATCATACCCCCTATGTAATTAATATAGTTTTTTACAGGTAGTCTACAGGATGAGATGAGTCCCCAGAATGAGTGTCTTGTGTCTCTGACCCAGCTAAAGTGATCCCAGAGTGGGGGGTGTGAATTCGGCAGGGCTGCCAAAATCATAACCCCCTATGTTAAATACTTACTATTGAATTTAAATTAATATAGTTTTTTTACAGGTAGTCTACAGGATGAGATGAGTCCCCAGAATGAGTGTCTTGAGTCTCTGACCCAGCTAAAGTGATCTCAGAGTGGGGGGTGTGAATTCGGCGGGGCTGCCAAAATCATAACCCCCTATGTTAAATACTTACTATTGAATTTAAATTAATATAGTTTTTTTTACAGGTAGTCTACAGGATGAGATGAGTCTTCAGAATGAGTGTCTTGTGTCTCTGACCCAGCTAAAGTGATCCCAGAGTGGGGGTGTGAATACGGCAGGGCTGCCAAAATCATACCCCCCTATGTAAAATACTTATTATTGAATTTAAATTAATATAGTTTTTACAGGTAGTCTACAGGATGAGATGAGTCCCCAGAATGAGTGTCTTGAGTCTCTGCCCCAGCTAAAGTGATCCCAGAGTGGGGGGTGTGAATTCGGCGGGGCTGCCAAAATCATACCCCCCTATGTTAAATACTTATTATTGAATATAAATTAATACAATTTTTTTGTTGTTGGTTTTTTTTTGGTTAGCCTAAATTGTTCACTTATCACACTTATCCAATTCCAACTAACTCCAAAAAAATGCAAGAAGTGAGACCTCAGTATCAGACTTGTACCACCGAACCCCATATACTCTCATTTTGAGGTTCAGGCCAGAACAACAATAAAACTCACAAGGACATACAGATATGGCATGTGATTGACAGGTCATGCATGAGCATGGACACCTCTGACTACTCCACTGCAGCACACCTTACCAGTCGATGATGTTGCCATCACCAGACTACTAATGCGACTGCATGGAACTTGACCGTTGACTAACCAACCCTCTTTTTGGTGTAGATTGTGTATGTACATGTTAACTGCCTATGATTTAACATACCAGTTTTTCAGATTTCTTTTTAAAAATGGTTATACAGTTGCTGTTTAAATTAGACATAAGATATTTTACACCCTATTACCAATCAGATTTCAATCTATCATACATAGTTCACATGTTTTTTTTGTTTTTTTTACTTTCAATACTCCATATTTATCGTCCTTGTGCATTGAAGTTCTATTTAGCAGTTTTATTGTATTCTATTTGTTTTAGTGGTATTGTAGTATCTTTTGTTAATAAAAGCTTTTTCTTTTTACAACTGTCTTGTTTTGTGTTGGTTAAACAAAAAAATATCCAGATCCAAGGAATTTGAAATCCCAATAATTGAAATAATTTTTCTTATTGTATACTTCTTTTGAATAATTTTATATTTGTGAAAGTTATTTCCTGTTGTCTTGACGTAAACCCACCCAGCCAATCACTCACCCCACTAACTTGCAGACGTTACTTGACATTGGATTTGTTCAGTGATTAAACATGGATCCCGACATCTATCAGAGAATATTAAATTATAAAACAAATGGTTCGTACTCTGATGGGTATTCCAAAACGGAAAAATCTAATTTTAGAAAAAAGGCCAACACTTTTGTCCTCCAAGGTAAGAGCCATACATGCCAACAGGATGACAGTTCTTGTGGACCTTTTGTCTTGAAGGTAAGTTAAATGGATCATTATGCCATATATGACTTTCTTTCCTTAGTGTACCACCAGAGGTAAATACAATGTAGATGGTTATTCTGGATGGTAAATGGATATCAAATGATAAATATTGAAATTAATGGTGACTTCCATTGAAATACAACACAAGGATATATTAGGAAGAGTGTTACTGTTGAAAATAGAAGTTAAGGTTGTAAATTTAGTTATCATTCTAGTATTGACATCATTCTTTGGAAATCCCTCACTTATATTTTAGGACAGAAGGTCAGTCTTGCAGCCTTAAATATAGAGAGAAAAAATAAATAAATACATTACATATCATTCTTAATAATCACTTTCTTTTTTTTTTAGTTTGCAGAATGTGTCTTAAATAATGAGTTGCTTCACTTTTCCACATCTGAGGAAAGTGTGGCTGCCCTGAGAAGTAAAATTGCTGCTTGTGTCTTGCAGCACACTGGTAAGTTTCAAAGGTCCAATTTTCATTAATTCTTTTGTTCCTTAACCATTAAACAGTGTTGGTAAAATGTGATTATTTATTAGCTTGTAAAAACTTGTGATGTTTTAAGAACTTGTTTTATGATAACATTGTTTATTCTGCCTCAACTAGATAACCTGAAGGACCTGTGCCATCTATGTGGGGACAAAAACAATGGCAAAAAAGTGACTAACTGGGTAAGCATTCCAATAAAGAATATTGTCTTTTATCAAACCTTTATTAAATTTATCATATGAATTGAAGGTGATATAATAATGTTCATGTAAGTATTGTTTGATATGGATTACAGATGCTTGACTTCAAAATGTGTTTGTCAACATGTTTAGATTGGCTGTGATATGTGCCCACGCTGGTTTCACTGCAGATGTGTTCAACGTACAAGAAAAAACAAAACATACATCTGCCCAGTTTGTCAACCTTAATGTAAGGTTTGAGGTGGTAATTTTCTTTTTTCTGAAATCTTCATTGTACATTTCTTAACTATACAATTTATTTGCCAGGTGATATAAACTACTTATGCTTCTCTTTCTTTGTTTCTTTGTTAGTGTGTCTTGGTTTTTGTACGCATCACCACTTTCCCCTTGCCTGAAAGTCTTTTTTTTTTGGCTGCTTCTAAACCTTTAAAGCCCTTTCTGATTTTTTAATGGTTTTTTCTTTTTTGTTTTTGCCTATTTCCTGTTAACATATCTCAACTCAGCTTGATCACCCGGTTTTTGACCCCCTGCTCTCGTCCTGGAATATTGCCTTTGCTTCATCCTTCAAATTGTTGGTCCGCTACTGATTTTGACCCCAGCCTGTTCTTTGGATTTTGCCTCTGTCTCGCCCTCTTACTCGGCTATCAATAATTTTATGTTCTTTTTTATTGTTTTCATTCAACGTTTTGACAATAAATCCTGTTCTAAATTGATCTGCTCTTGGGTCCTGTTGTCTGAACCTCCCTAACAACTTTAGCTGGGTCAGAGACTCAAAAAACACTCATTCTGGAGACTCATCTCATCCTGTAGACTACCTGCAGAAAAGCACAAATGTGTAGTTTCAATAGTAAGTATTTAACATAGGGGGGTATGATTTTGGCAGCCCCGCCAAATTCACACCCCCCACTCTGGGATCACTTTAGCTGGGGCAGAGACACAAGACACTCATTCTGGGGACTCATCTCATCCTGTAGACTTCCTGTAAAAAACTATATTAATTTAAATTCAATAGTAAGTATTTAACATAGGGGGTTATGATTTTGGCAGCTCTGCCGAATTCACACCCCCCACTCTGGGATCACTTTAGCTGGGTCAGAGACACAAGACACTCATTCTGGGGACTCATCTCATCCTGTAGACTACCTGGCAGAAAAAGTGTGCAGGTTGAATAATAAGTATTTGGTAACACTTTACAATAAGGTTCATTAGTTAACATTAGTTAACTACTTTAGTTAACATGTACTAAGAATGAACAATACTTCTTCACCATTTATTAATCTTAGTTAATATTAATTCCAACATTTACTAATACATTTTTAAAATCAAAGGTTGTATTAGTTAACATTAGTTAATGCACTGTGAACTAACATGAACGCACAATGAACAGCTGTATTTATATTAACTAACATTAACAAAGATTAATAAACACTGTAACTAATGCATTGCTCATCATTAGTTCATGTTAGTTTAGTTAATGCATTTACTAATGTTAACTAATGAACCTTATTTTAAAGTGTTACCAAGTATTTTAAAAGCACAAGTGAGGAGGTTCAATAATTATTATTTTACATAGGGAAGTATGTTTTTGCAGCACTGTAGTTTTTATAGCTATAGAAAATGTGCAGGCAGCAAAGTCAAATGACATATTTGTCAGCATTCCATTTAGTAATGATGTTCATGTTTAGGTGTAGGCTACCCTTACGAAACTAATTGTTTTACGACAAAAAACACTGTAGTGTTTAAAAAAAAAAAAAAAAAAAACACTGTTTTACAATACTGTAGTAAAAACACTTTACAAGCGAAAAATCTGACAGTTGTAAATCATACGAGTTGTAAATCATACGAGTTTGGTCAAATATATGATCAAAGAGGAAAAAAAAGAATAAATACATGATCAAAAATCAACAAACAAATTTCTATCATGTAATTTCTTACGTCGTCTGATTACAACGCGTTCTCATCCCAAAGCGCCATATAGGACGCTTTTGCAAAAGCGTAAATATCCAACGCACATGGCACCCTTTAACGTCTAATTAGACGCTTCGGTTAGGGTTAAGTTTAGGTAAGGTGTAGGGTAAGGGTTAGACCACTAGGGGGCGCCTTCTGCCCAAATATATCTGCGTCCCATTTCACGTTAAAGGGCTCGCATACGAGCATGCTAAACAGCCTGCTCTAGGTCTGCTAGCTGCACTGCATTGACAATGAATACAAAATTAAGGATCATTTTTTGGCTTTAATATTAATAAGATTAATCTTTCCCTTACGCAATATGAGAGAACCTCTCGTAAGAGAACAAATGCCATGCTTCCAAATGATGTATGCAAGTATGTTTCTATAATCTACCACTTCAATAATTCAAAAGTATAATCTGACACGATGACATTACTTTTGCTTTCACTGTAATAAATACTGCAAAGTTTTATTATAAATAATATTAGTTATTTTATTTTTTCACATCAAAAAAATCATTAGAAACAATCATCTGCCCCACCCCACCTCAGGCTTTAACAACTGCCTTAGTATTTTAATTAAATTGTGCAGATACGCGTTAAATGTATTTTCAGTTTTTTTATTTCATCCAGACACACATGTATCTATATAACATTAAATTTACATTTTAAGAAATCAGTTGTCAACTCTCCCTAAAAATGTACTGGTTAAAACATTCTACAATAGTGTTTACAGGATGTGTACAAGTGTCTATGCAAGTGTTTACAGGACTGTCAATTTCAAGTATCATAGCTAAAACTTGCCTTGCAATAGCAAATGTACTTGAAGCATTTCTACCATGTTACCAATCAGTGAAGATTTATGTATAAAGTAACATTTCCTTGTTTTTTAAGAAACAGCTTGTGATTTTATAGCGGTGCTTTGACACACAAAGTACCTTCATGATATTTAAGTGGAAAGAACGACGTTTTCTTTGTTACCAGTTCTCAATATAATGCAGAATATATGTTGAGAATGTACGCTTATTCTACAATAAAGTCTTTTCAAGAGCATTAATAAAAGCAGTGCATCTTAAGCATCACGATAACATCATCTAGACTTACACACAAAATGTAAGAGAGAAAAGGGCCAAGATGGAGCATTCAGATACACAAATCAGATTGAACACACATTAATTCATTGAAGTGCATTCAAACATTTATCTTTAACAACAGGTCTAACTGGACATGAAAATGAGCCTGAAAACGGATGAAAAACAGAGCTGTCTGGCACCATAAGTGTATTAAAGTCAGTATGTACATGAACTACAACTAACACGACATGATATTAATGAATTTTCTTACACATTCTTATAAGTTTAAGACATTGCAATATTTTACAGTGTATTTGAAACAAATAATGTTTATATACAGCAGGACAACTATGGTTGCAAAGCATTTAAGATATATTTCCAACACACAACATGTAAATTGATCAGATAATCAGACTTCCAATATATATATATATATATATATATATATATATTAATATATATATATATTATTATTATTTTTTAACTGTGAGAAAGAACGATTTCAGTGACTGTAAAAACATGACCGGGACAAATGCAGAGCACCTCTAGAGAAGTCACACACTCTGTCAAACACACTATGCTGATGTTTGGACTGAGCAGGTTTGATAATTTAAACCCGATGAAGCCATCCAACACAACAAACAGATTGGGGGGTGGGGGGGGTGGGGTACATTGCTTTGGAAATCCACTTTGGAAGACTAGGATATGTTTATGCTATTTAATTACACATAATATAGTAGTCAAATTCACAAACCGACATAGTGGGTAAATGTAAAGTAATGTGTAATATAATCTAATTGAGTTAATTTGTTAAAAAAATCTAGCCTGGATGCCAGCCCGAACCCTGCCCACAACATTTTTTGGTCGGGAATTTCGGTCTGGATTCGATCCATTGAGGAGTAATTATGATCTGTCAAAAAATGGTCTGGCCAATCAAATTGCCAGGGCGAGCTTTATACAATGATGGACAGATGATCTGCAGTTACGTAATCATCACGTCATCAAAGAGCGCTTGGTTTGAACTGGTTTGACTCAAAGATGACTGCAGATGGAGAATTGAGATGTATAGATTCCGCTATCGTGTCTGTTTTAGAAGAAATCGACAGCACATTAATTTTAAAAGACGAACAGAGAACTGCAATAAAGGCATTTGTCGATCGTCAAGATGTGTTTGCGGTCCTTCCTACAGGATTCGGCTAAAGTTTAATTTATCAGCTGGCTCTGATGGTCGCTAAGAAGATGGGACGCAATGACAACCCAGTTGGTCGCACTCATGGAAGACCAAGTAAAAGAAGCAACTGAAATGGGCATCACGGCGATGCAACTCATGTCAAAGACATCGCTGCATCAACCAATGGTGACGCTTTGTTATCCTACTCACACACCATACCCGTGCTGGTAGTCACTATAAGTTACCCCCTATTAGCGGTGTCTTTTTAAAAATAAATTATTAGATGCTATTCATCATTTTGTTTTTAAATCATCATTAAATACATAATTAAACATCATTTTGGCTCCCGGTCTCTTTTCTCTGAAGACTCAAATGAACACGCTTCTTCCACCTGGTGTCTTTCTTTGTCTCTCCATTTATTAAAATCAGTCAAGTTGCACTCCAGCCATGTTATAAAGTTGAGACATGTCTGACAAATGCGAGCAGATTTGTTGGCTTTATAGTCGAGATCTAATCCTAAACGGAGAACTTGTTCGTTTATACATTTCACATTTTCTATTTTGTTCAAAAATGTTTTTCGAGTTTGCAAGTACTCCGCGAATCCTTAAATTATTTTTGCAACACCGGCAAAGGTCGTTGACACTCATTTTTCTTTTAAATACCTTTTCCAGAGTGCGTGCAGTTCAGTTCTGTTGACAACTCGCTCAACATAAGTCACTTACTGTGTTGCTCTGATTGGTTGTAGGTCTATCCAATTGAGTTCAGAGGTTTTTTGAAAAGCCTCATAATCAAAGCCCTATGGAGCAGTATCACACTCACATTCTGAATAGAATTGGATTATGACGAAGTCAGGCTAACAAAAATCTATATCAGCAAAGAAATTATGGAAATTAAAAGGCTTTGTGACTTGTGACTTGAAAGCGAGGCAAGTGAAATAAAATGTGAAACAGCACCTTTTTTCCACAAAGTGAAAGTCACCGACATCAAATGTTGTTTCAACAATGACATTTTTAAAAATATCTTGTTTTCCACAGAAGAAAGAAAAGCATACAGGTTTGGAACGGCATTTTTAGGGTGAACGACGAGGTCTGGGTTTGCTATCGATTCAGTCGTGGTTCTGTCCCTGTGTTGAGGATGGGAAAGAATCAATTCTTTAGGAGAAAAAACAAAAACAGTCAAAGCTTACACAATATGTGTCACAATACAGAGCCACAGGAAAAACAACAAATAATAAATAAGCACATTGCATAGTGAATAAGCTAATTTTAGTGTTATGTGATAGCATGCGTAATGTTTAGTGTCTTTAGGTCGAGCAGTCCACATCACAGCCACTACATTGAAAATCTAATCTTGGCAAGTCGCATTCATACCCCGTGCTGCTAAATCACTTGTACAGTACATCCGCTAACGTAAACAAACGTGGAAAAAGCAAATGAAATTGTAGTGTATGATAATGTAATATATATGAATGTAACTTGTGTGCCTCTCACTCATATAACTGCAGGAGGACATGAAGTGACATGAACAAACACACAGGAAGAATGTGCAGAGAGCGCAGCTGAGGGACTGCTTCCCTTCTCAGGGCGTCTGAGATCCAGATCTCTTGAAGCTACCCAGCAGACTCTGCACACCCTTTTTCACGCTGGAGCCGACCCGGCGGGCCACGGAGTCAGCGGGAGGACCGGGCAGACAGGAGCCACTGCTGGGGGTCCGAGCGTCCAAACACTTCTGATACCTCAGCTGCAAATCATGAAAGATATTGTTTAAAACATTTTGGGAGAACAGCAACATATTTCAACTTAAAATAGTTATTAGATTACACACTCTACAACTGTGGCCAAGAGTATTGGCAGTGACATTTGTTGTGTTTCCTGCTTATTTTGTGTTTGCCGCTTCAGTATTTGTGGTGTTGATTCACATTATTAGTAGATTATTGTGCAGAGTGATCAGATACATTTTAAATAATTTCAAAAAGCTTCATTGGCAAAAAAAAAAAAAAAGAAAGACAGAACTTTATCACAAAAATGCTAATTTCACCATGTTTTAGCCCTGGCATAAAAGACCAGCTAGATGTGGCTAAAGGTGAACACTAATTACCCAGCACATTCTACGGAGAGCCTTACAGGTGATGGGAAAAACATGATATGGGAGGAAAAAATATATTTCAATGCCTGTGTGATCTCTTGCAATTATATAGTTAGGTATTTATATTGTACTTTAATCAGGGAGCCGTTATAATCACGAGGGTATTGACATAGCTTTTGAATGTGCGTTTGTATAGTAATGCGTTTGTATAGTCTGATGACGACCGCAGTAAGCCTAACTATGCTAGGGCTCCTAGATTGCGTTATTCATTCTCCATGCCGTTCAGAAGGTATTCGCTTCAGGCACACGCCACCATCTAACATAATTTCACAAATCATATTACCAGCACATGAGTACTATCATTCAGAAATCACTCGATCGTTCTGATTGGATTAGAATTATTATTAGGATTATTATTGCACCTGAAAGAATCATTAACCAGTTTAAGAATGGAGAGATGTTTAACTGGAGTGATGTCCCAGAGTGTCCAGCAAACACCAGGATGATCCCCTCATGAGGAGCCGCTGCAGAACCGTGTCTCCAGTGTAGATCGACTCGATATTGGCAGCAGGTGAGAGAGATACATCTGGACACACAAGACTTGTTTTTTTTCAAGGACAGACTGAAATTCAGCAGGAAGTACAAGGATTGGATATTTTCTCTAACTAAGCCTCGTTCCAACTGTTTAGGACAAACCAGATTGTCCAGAGAAGAAAAGAGGAACGCTACCATGAGTCATGTGTCATGCCAACAGTGGAGCATCCAGAGACCATCCATGTGTGGGGTGGTTTTCCTCCAAGGATGTGGCTCTCGCATAATTATGTCCCAAAATTAACGCAAGAAATAAAGAATGGTATCAAAACCTCCAAGAGCAACTGCTCCAACGATCCTAAAGCAATTTGATGATGATCAGTGCATTTTCCACCACGATGGGACACGTCACACAAGGCAAGAGTGATAATGCTCAGATATCATTACATTTAACCCCCTGAGGACCAAATAAAAATACTTATTTGGTCCTCATACTTCGTCATTAATGGTCATGTAAATAAAATCAATACATGATTATAAACTAGAGGGTCTTCTTTTTTGTGTGTACACTCTTATTAACATCAAAACCTTGTGTTTTTGTAAAATAAATAAAATAAACAGGGTGCGCTTTGAGCTCACTCTGTCTCCGCAAAAATCTTTCTGAAACGCGTCTGAAAAATTAACAGTAACTCATTAAATACTTGTCACAGAGACACGAAAGATTTCTCTTTATGAAGCTGAAATTCTCTTCTTTTAAAGCCCCATTATATACTTAATAATAAAGCTGAAAAGTCTGTTTTCTTTGCTAGACAGCGGATGTATGAATTTGCCAACAAACCTAACAAATATCTAGCCAATCTATTGCGGAGCCGATCCCAAGCCCAGGTCATATCCAGTATCAAAGATAAAGAAGGCAAGTGTCATCATGATAAAGTAATCAACAAAATCTTTAGAGCATTTTATAAGAGGCTTTATTCATCCCAATCAAGTCCCTCTTCTGGTGATAATATGAATAAATTCTTTGCAAACTTAAATATACAGGAATCAACTGAGGAGCAAAGACAGATGTTAAACAAACCAATTGAGCTGAGTGAAATTTTGTATTAATAATCTTCCCAAAGGAAAAGCACCAGGGCCTGATGGGTTTAAGGCCATTGCACACCGAGCACGAAATATTCGTATGCGTATTTTCGTGTTCGTCAGCTTAAAAATTCGTCACGCATAGAAACCTTGCACACCGAGTCCGTTGCGTATTTCTTAAACCTTTGCGGGAAAAAACGCAAAAATACCAAATGGATTCGTCAAGCAGTGAGGATGATTTTTGTCCTCTCTCTTATTGAAAAGGGAAGAAAGAGAAAATATTACGTCCATCCAATCCTGAAATTGCGCCGAGAGGAAGGAGAGTTCGTTATCAAGGAGTTGCGAATTTATCCTGAGCGATTCAAAATTTACCTCAGAATGTCAGTGGGACAGTTCAATGCTTTGCTAGCGATCCTGGAGCCACATATTAAAAACAAGACCACCAATTTCCGTGAACCAATCGATTCTGAACGGAGACTGGCAGTGTGTCTGAAATGGACCAGGTATGGACACACACACACGGACAAACACACACCCGCGCGCGGCCCGTTGGAAGCGCTGGGCAGACAGAACAGCTAGGCTGTTATTGTGTATTATGCCCAAATAATACATTAGTTATCGAATAGGCTGCTCAATCACACCTTATTCGATCCTAAATTTCAATCTGATTGAAAGGGGAGGTTTATTAATTTCATAATCCAATATAGAGAAGAGAACATAAACACTTGATCGAATTGAAAACCGAAACTGAAAGCACGCCGCATATATGCAATGATTTGAGGACGAGCTCCCCCGGCCCTGAATTGTCAAAAGACCTCTCAAAATGCTGGCTCTGGATGCGAAAAACGCAGAAAATCGAACCCGATCCGATTAATTTTATGACGGACGAAAGTTTCGGAGGCGGTGTGCAAGCGTGACTGACATAACGTGAGGTCGAATTTTTTTTTTAACGTGCGAAAATTTCGGATGCGAATTTCGGACTCGGTGTGCAATGGCCTACAGTGGGTTTAAATGGGTTTCCCCAAACCCAAGCCTTGAAAGGGCGAAGGCCCTATTGTTTTCCTTAGGATTATTAGGGCCCAAGCCCTGAAAGGGCGAAGGCCCTATTGTTTTCCTAAGGGTTCTTATTATTAGGGCCCAAGCCCTGAAAGGCCGAAGGCCCTATTGTTTTCCTTAGGATTATTTCTTCTTCTTCTTCTTCTTACGTATTATTATTATTCTGCTACCTTTTGGGCACTTTTGGGGCCCTTAATGTGCTCGAAAACTCTTGAAACTTTGCACACGGGTCAGAACCATAGACTGTAAAAAAGATGGACGACGCCCCTTCGCTCTTTTCCATCAGAGTGAACTGAAGCCGCCAGTGTCTCGATATGACGCTGACATCATGGACTTGAGTCTGCGCACTTGCGTGTTTCGGGACCAGTCATGCGCAGTCGTGAGCAGGAAGTAAAGCCGCGAAATCAAGGCCGCACCCTCATTCTCGCTGAATCAAACGCAAGCACACGCCCCTCACTTTTATTAAGTGTCCTCTGTCTGCTTCGTTCTTCTCCAATGATGTCTGCTGATTGCAGAACCTCGTTAAAATAAGGTAAATACAACTACTAACCACATAATCAACATTATTAAAAAAGTCCGCTGGTGCTTCAGTGACTACCTCGCACAGAGAACCTGTCAATCACAGCGGTCAATCATGATGTCAGAGCACCGTTATTTTATCATCACATAACTAACTAAAAACAAACTTATTTTAAAAACGAACACTTTAAATTACATCAACGTGATAGAAACTACAATAAATGACAGAAACTATCTTTGGAAAAAGGATATTTGAAGTGTAATTTAATTGTTTAGTTGGTCTCGTGTCCCATTGAATAACATGGGGAGGCGGGGGTTATGAGCTATACTAGGACCGGTCACAGGGGGGCGATCGAGACGTTTTGGCTTCACTTTTGAGGGCTTGTGCGGCACGCTTGGTCAGAACCCACGGCCATCAGGGCCGGGCTGAAGATGGTACCCGGGCGTGGCAGGGGGGCTCGACAGCGCCCCCTGGAACGGGGTCCGAAAACTTGGTCCATAACTCAAACACGCCTTTATGTAAAAATATAAAACTCGGTACACATGTAGATCTCATCGTTTCATATATACTTCACACTCTTACTTTATACCCCAGCCCAACAGGAAGTCGGCTATTGAGGATTGTTTGTAAAACACACGCAATGGAATGTGAAATACTCCTCCTAGAGCTCTGATCCAAATTTGACGAAACTCGGTCAGCGTGAATTCAAGACATTGAGGATGAAAGTTTGCGAGGGGATTTTTGATATCTCGAACGGTTTGGCTGTGCCGAGGAAACGAAATTATTGCGAGAAACGTGAAACAGGAAGTGTGTTATAACTTCAGCATACATTAACTGATCTTGATGAAACTTCAGCAATGTGTTCGCTGTAAGAGGACGATCACATGAATCATTTATTGTGAGTCAAAGTTATAGCAGGAAGTGTGTCACTTTCAAAATGTTTTGAAATCACCCTCTTATTTTTACCCGATTTGCTTCAAACTTCATCTGTATAATGTAAATACACGGCAGATAAAGACCTGTGAATGGATTTTTAATATCTTTGAAACTGTTGCCGTGGCAACGCATCAAACTTTACCATTTTTTAGGATGCTTTTGAGACCCTTAGCATGCTTCAAATTGCATGAAACTCAGACACATCACATTTATTAGCCAGATATTTTGGTTTGAATATGGCGAGCCTCTCTCTGAGCCTACGTCTCTGTATGGCAAGCCCCTTTAACATTTAAAAGCTAAGTTTAACTATCCAGAATTAACATTGTAGATATCAACAACGTCTTTCTGAATAGTCGTAATTACATTTTGGAGAGTTTGTATTATCATTTAAGATATCTGTAACGTAATTGTGACTAGTCGAAACGACAGATAGAGTAAAGCAAGCCGTTTTAACATTTTATCATTTTAACCTACTAGTCTCTATTTTCATGCTACTGTTGTAAAGAACGATACTTTTAAACATAACCCTAAATCGCCATAAGGTGTCGCCAGGCGACCGTCTTAATGAACGAGTCATGGATTCATTCGTTCACAATGCTGAATCATTCAGTAATGAGAAAACACATTGCTTTGAGATGCGCGATGGTTTGCTGTGATCTTTGTCAAACTATTTTCTCTGCTGAAACATAAAAAAGTCAATATTGCATCTAAAATGTAAGTGACGTGTCTTGTGTGTGTGTCTACGTTTGTTGCAGTGATAAGAGTTGCACCACTGTTAAATATATCTGGATATATATCTTCTTCTTTTTTTTTTTTTTTTACAAAATATGCATACAAGCCATAAATTTTAGATTTATTATTTACTTTAAATTAAATTAAGATTGTATTTCTGGTAATTGAACCTGAATGAATTTAAAATGAATGTGCTATATTTCAGATCATATATTTGTTTTTCTTAAAATTTGAACTAACCTTAACTTTATTCTCAGCTGAATTATAATTTATTTCTGTATAAAATAAAAACACATTTGAATTTTCTTTTTTAATCAATGTAGAATGTGTAACTGAAAAATAAACAGATTAGGGCTCTGTTCGAGGACAAGAAATTAAAACCAATGTAACATGATGAATGTCCAAAAGACGGCAGAGAGTGAGAGAGAGAGATATTTTGGTTGCTTGACAGTTGTAGGTTGCAGTTTGACAAGAGTTTATAGTTTGACACAAGCACAATGTTGTGTTATATTGCAAGTGTACACAAATATATATATTCCAATTCCAGTTTGAATAATTTCCTGTATGAACAAAAGGACAGAGTACAGTATGTTTTTATGTCTCCATTGTTCAATCACGCCTCACACAACCAGACATTATTGTTCTAATCAGATCAGGCAAGTGATATCCTGTCTTGTCCCTTAAAGGGTTAGTTCACCCAAAAATGAAAATTAAGTCATTAATTACTCACCCCCATGCTGTACCAACCCCGTAAGACCACAAATAAAGATATTTTTGAATGAATCTGAGAGCTGGATCACTCTTCCATAGCCTGCCTAAGGGACTGGCTCTTGACGGCCCATAAAGTCATTAAAGAAACGGTTTAAATATTCCATGTGCCTACAGCGGCTCAATTATAAGTTTATCAAGCGACGAGACTACTTTTTGTGCGAAAAAAACATAAATAACGACTTAATTCGACTATTCTATTACTTCCTTATGGGCGCATGCGCGAGAACTGAGACGAGGACGTTCTTCTCCTTCGACTAATTTTTGTTACCGGCTGCTCACCGCTTAGGAGTATTACCGCCACCTACCGTATAAGATGATGTGGTGATATAGCTGGAAGCACAAAACTTTCTGTTTACAAGCAGAGGAAGATGCGCGCTGTACATACGCTTTTCAATTAGCATATTTTCCGCACTATAAGGTGCACTTAAAAGCCTTTAATCTTCTCAAAAAACGACAGTGTTCCTTATAATCCGGAGCGCCTTATATATGGATCATCATCTTATACGGTAGGTGGCGGTAATACTCCTAAGCGGAGCAGCCGGTAACAAAAATTAGTCGAAGGAGAAGAACGTCCTCGTCTCAGTTCTCGCACATGCGCCCATAAGGAAGTAATAGAATAGTCGAATTAAGTCGTTATTTATGTTTTTTTCGCACAAAAAAATAATCTCGTCGCTTGATAAACTTATAATTGAGCCGCTGTAGGCACATGGAATATTTAAACCTTTTCTTTAATGACTTTATGGGCCGTCAAGAGCCAGTCCCTTAGGCAGGCTATGGAAGAGTGATCCAGCTCTCAGATTCAATCAAAAATATCTTTATTTGTGTTCTGAAGATGAACGAAGGTCTTACGGGGTTGGTACAGCATGGGGGTGAGTAATTAATGACTTAATTTTCATTTTTGGGTGAACTAACCCCTTAAGGGCCAAAGCCGGCGGCACCGCCACCCCGGTGCCTTTAAGTAACTAAATAATCTACAAATACTAAAGCAGCAAACTTTGCAAAAAAAATAAAAAATAAAATAATTATGCCAATACTTTATGGTCCCAAATGATCTAATTTATCAAAATGATCTATTTTATACTGTAAAAACTGAAGTGTATAAATGCAGTGATTCTAAACATCACAGGCTCATTGAATAATCACATATGAAAGTATGAGAGCTGCAATGAGCTACAACTTAAAATTTGGGTTCATTACCCATACCAAGAACATGACATCAGAAGACTTGGAATATGCAGCAAAAATCATATGGACTAATTTATGACTCGGTTATGGAGCATCACAGAACATGCAGGTAAAAAGGCACACAATTTTTAATCATAACATGTAGGCATGGGCGGTATCCAAATTTTCACACCGTCAAACCTCCTCCCTATTTTACCGCGGTATACGGTATTACCGCGTGACTAATTAAAAATTACGAGATAAGGCTCAGATGGCATCACACATGATGACACGTTCAACCAGAGAGTGTCGGTTCCAATAATGCATCTAAAAGCTGTCAATCAACTATTAGAAAACAGGAGATGCACATTGTCTCACACCAGAGAATGTGAGCAGAGTGGTGATATTTCCTCAAGAGAGGGGAGCGCATTTATGGAGATCACGCGCCACGAGCTCTGTCCACTCGGCGCCACGAGCTCTGTCCACTCGGCGCCGCGAGATAAAACTATTTATTAATAAACTAGTGTTTTCTATGTCAGTTGCTGCAAAAATAAAGATTGCATTGACGATGCAAACTGGCATCTTCACAGTAGTGAACACGAATAAAGAGTAGCCTAATGCACACTTCATATGAATAAGCCTATAGCAGAGAGCAGCCCATTTCTTTTAGCTTGTAATTGTTTTGTTTAAAAGTATAGACATTTCAAGCTTACTATATATATACACTTCTCAGATCATTAAGACATGTATCTTATATGCCGAGTTTCAGTTCATGTATGAATCGCGCTCCAGTCACGCGTCGGCGCGTGTCCTGATTACTATCTTTGCTTTTTATTTATTAATCCAGGCAATTCGTTGATGAAAAACGAATAAATAAATGAAGTTGCAATTTATTCAAAACTAAATTCGTTTTTAAAAAAGGCTTTGTACAAAACAAAACGTAATAAGTGGTCATAATCATGTCTGACTGACCCAACATGTTTTCTATGTCAGTTGCTGCAAAGATAAAGATTGCATTGACGACGCAAAGCATCTTCGCGGTAGTGAACGCGAATAAAGAATAATGCACACTTCAAATGAATTAGCCTAAACATAAGCAGAGAGCAGCCCATTTCTTTTAGATTGTTTGTTTTGTTTAAAAGTAGACATTTCAAGCTTACTATATATACACTTCTCAGATCTTGTTTCTTATATGCGAGGTTCAGTTCATGTATGAGTCGCGCTCCAGTCACGCGCCGGCGCGTGTCCTGATCACTATATTTGCTTTTTATTAATTAATCCAGGCAATTCGTTGATGAAAAATAAATTAAAATGAAGATGCAATTTATTCAAAACGAAATTCGTTTTAAAGAAAGGATTTCTACAAAACAAAACGTAATAAGTGGTCATAATCATGTCTGACTGACCCATTCCAAATGTTTTCCGATATTGCGCATTTTATGATCTTACCTTATTCATCTCATGAAGTCCCTTTTCATCATATTATTAAAGAAATATGAAAAGAATTCGTTTTTTTTTTTTTTTTTCAAACTTAGCTTAAGCGTCACACGGTCTGGCCCGCTGTAGACTACATGCATGTGTGCGTACATGTGGTGGTGGGGCACAATTTTCAAATAATAATCGAATAATACCAGGCAACGTTTAAATATTATTTTTGCTTGAAATGCCCATCCCTGCCAAACTGCAGAAGTCGTGTTCTTCTTCGAGACCAAGTCACTCAGTGCGCAACTTGCAATCTTTGCCCTCTCTCCCCCACTCTCTCGTCACCACACTGTCACGTCATGAGAACCAGATATAAGCATTTTAGCCATTAAATGAATTGTATTTAAAACATTGCATTTATATAGGAGACAAGGATTCCTTGTCTCCTATTTAAGTGCATTGTTTTTTTTTCTGACGGTATGACGATATTGAAACTGATACCGTTGCTATTTTTAGATCCCGCGGTATACGATATTACCGTAATACCGCCCAAGCCTAATAACATGTCAATTTATATTGGGGCGATATTAGCAATAATATCACTAACAAATTAATAGTAATAAATATTTATTAATATAATATTAATATAAATAATTTTTTGGATCGTTTTAGTAGCAGTCTGGAGCCCTGCACTGTATGCAACACCATGAACTATCTGTATCTCTTTTACATGTGCAGTAAAGAATTAATTTATCTTTTTTAATTTGTGCTGTAGATGATTAACTAGACATAAGCTTACCATGCAGGCAGCCTGTACGGCCTCACTTAGACTGGCTGCGTTAGGATCACACCAGAACATGTGACAGATGAAGTCTCCAGGTCCCTCTGCCATGATGAATGCAAACGTGTGCACATCCTTCCCGACTCCCATGAACGATAGGAAACGCACACGACACTCGGAAAGAACTTCCTCCGACTGTGTTGGTGACATTGAGACATCAGAGAAGTGATTCATCTAAGCAGATTGTTACAATATAACATTATGTATTTATGACCATCACAGTATTACATACAGTTGTGGTCAGAATTATTGGCACCCTTGGTAAACATGATTAAAGATGGCTGAAAAAAATAATTCTGCATTGTTTATCCTGTGGATCTTTCAATAAAAAAATAAATAAAATAAAAATAAAAAAAACAAAAATGTAGTCTTTCATTGAAGTAAAAGTATTAGAAGTGGGGAGAAAAATCTAACTAAGAAATAACTGGGTTTTTTTTCTCCAAAACACATTGGCCACAATTATTGGCACCTCTAGAACTTTTTATGAGTAAAAAAAATCTCTGAAGTATATTCCCATTAATATTTACATTCTTTAGCACACCATGGTGACTAGAAACATGAAAGTGTCTAGCTATGACTTCTTGTTTCATGAGGAAACAAAGAAAATTAAAGCTGCAAGCAGCGATGGGCGGGCCCTCGCACCAGTAGCACGTCGGGGTGTGAGGCGGCCGCGTTGCATATTCTGGAGCTCAAGCGGTGCGGCTGTGAGTTTGCTACTCATCCAAATCACGCAAATATTGACGTAAAATTCAAAATGATCACTTCCTGTTGCCAGCAGGTGGCGCTATGACTGTGGTCTAATTTCGGCATGTACATGTGTTCAGGGTGGGACTGTTGTATAACGTATAAAATTTCGCGCAGGTCTGGGGATGTACACTGAAGTTACAACAACTTCCTGTTTCATAGCGAATCATCGACGCCACGGACACGCCCATCGACGAAAACGCGCAGATAGCACAACTTTACATCGTCAATGCCTTTAGAAGGCACAGCAGAAATGTGAAGTCGATCTGACAACATCCCTAGGAGGAGTTTGTTAAAGTATGTAATGAGTAAATCATCCAAAAATGGCGGTAAAATTAGAAATGGCCTACTTCCTGTTGAGTTTAGGGCATCGCCCCAAGAGACTTTTCTGTGCGTCTGGACATGTTAGATTTACCACAGAAATTTCGTACATGTCGGTCAAACATGCGACAGGGGCTGCTTCGTTAAAGGTCACTTCCTGTTACCACTAGGTGGCGCTATGACTGTGGGTGAATGTCGACATGTAGATTTGTTCAGGACGGGACTCTTGTCAAATGTGTAAAATTTTGTGCAGATCTGGGCATTTACAGCCAAGTTACTACAACTTCCTGTTTCATGGCGAATCATCAACGCCACGGACACGCCCATCGACGAAAACGCGCAGATAGCACAACTTTACATCGTCAATGCCTTTAGAAGGCAAAGCAGAAATTTGAAGTCGATCCGACTAAATCCTTAGGAGGAGTTAGTTAAAGTACATAATGAGTAAATCATCCTAAAATGGCGGTAAAATTAGAAATGGCCGACTTCCTGTTGAGTTTAGGGCATCGCTCCAAGAGGCTTTTCTTTGCGTCTGGACATGGTAGATGTACCACAGAAATTTCGTACATGTCGGTCAAACATGCGACGGGGGCTGCTTCGTTAAATGTCACTTCCTCTTGCCACTAGGTGGCGCTATGAATGTGGGTGAATGTCGGCATGTAGATTTGTTCAGGGCGGGACTCTTGTCAAATGTGTAAAATTTCGTTTAGATCTGGGCATTTACAGCCAAGTTACTACAACTTCCTGTTTCATTGCGAATCATCGACGCCACGGACACGCCCATCGACGAAAACGCGCAGATAGCACAACTTTACATCGTCAATGCCTTTAGAAGATACAGCAGAAATTTTAAGTTGATCCGACTAAATCCCTAGGAGGAGTTCGTTAAAGTACGGAGTGTGTAAATCGTCCCAAATCGGTCGCCAAATTCAAAATGGCGGACTTCCTGTCGAGTTTAGGGTATGGGTTCTTGAGGCTTTTTTGTGCGTCTGGTCATGGTAGATGTACCACAGAAATTTCGTACATGTCGGTCAAACAAGCGGCGGGGGCTGCTTCGTTAAAGGTCACTTCCTGTTGCCAGCAGGTAGCGCTATGACTGTGGGTGAATGTCGGCATGTAGATTTGTTCAGGGCGGGACTCTTGTGAAATGTGTAAAATTTCGTGCAGATCTGGGCATTTACAGCCAAGTTACTACAACTTCCTGTTTCATGGCGAATCTTCGACGCCACGGACACGCCCATCGACGAAAACGCGCAGATAGCACAACTTTACATCGTCAATGCCTTTAGAAGGCACAGCAGAAATTTTAAGTCGATCCGACTAAATCCCTAGGAGGAGTTCGTTAAAGTACGGAGTGTGTAAATCGTCCCAAAATGGGCGCCAAATTCAAAATGTCGGACTTCCTGTCGAGTTTAGGGTATGGGTTCTTGAGGCTTTTTTGTACGTCTGGTCATGGTAGATGTACCACAGAAATTTCGTACATGTTGGTCAAACAAGCGGCGGGGGCTGCTTCGTTAAAAGTCACTTCCTGTTGCCAGCAGGTGGCGCTATGACTGTGGGTGAATGTCGGCATTTAGATTTGTTCAGGGCGGGACTCTTGTCAAATGTGTCAAATTTCGTGCAGATCTGGGCATTTACAGCCAAGTTACTACAACTTCCTGTTTCATGGCGAATCTTCAACGCCACGGGCACGCCCATGGACGAAAACGCGCAGATAGCACAACTTTACATCGTGAATGCCTTTAGAAGGCACAGCAGAAATTTGAAGTCGATCCGACTAAATCCCTAGGAGGAGTTCGTTAAAGTACGGAGTGTGTAAATCGTCCAAAAATGGCCGCCAAATTCAAAATGGCGGACTTCCTGTCGAGTTTATGGTATGGGTTCTTGAGGCTTTTTTGTGCGTCTTGATATGATACACGTCCCCACCAAATTTTGTGCATGTAGGTTGAACGTGGACGGGGGCTAATTTTTTCCAATTTTCTAGGTGGCGCTAGCGTGCCATTTTGCCACGCCCATCCGCGAAACCCACAAAATACGAAATTTTTCACCAGTCCTGACATGCGTGCCAAATTTGGTGAGTTTTTGAGCATGTTGCGGCCCCGAAAATGGCGCTTACTTTGCAGAAAAAAGAAAAAAGAAAAAAAAATTAAAGCTGCAAGCAGCGATGGGCGGGCCCTCGCACCTGTAGCACGTCGGGGTCTGAGGCGGCCGGGTTGCATTTTCTGCAGCTCAGCCAGTGCGGATGTGCATTTGCTACGCTGCTTCGTTAAAGGTCACTTCCTGTTGCCAGAAGGTGGCGCTATGACTGTGGGTGAATGTCGGCATGTAGATTTGTTCAGGGCGGGACTCTTGTCAAACGTGTAAATTTCGTGCAGATCTGGGCATTTACAGCCAAGTTACTACAACTTCCTGTTTCATGGCGAATCATCGACGCCACGGACACGCCCATCGACGAAAACACGCAGATAGCACAACTTTACATCGTCAATGCCTTTAGAAGGTACAGCAGAAATTTGAAGTTGATCCGACTAAATCCCTAGGAGGAGTTCGTTAAAGTACGGAGTGTGTCAAATTCAAAATGGCGGACTTCCTGTCGAGTTTAGGGTATGGGTTCTGAGGCTTTTTTGTGCGTCTGGTCATGGTAGATGTACCACAGAAATTTCGTACATGTCGGTCAAACAGCGGCGGGGGCTGCTTCGTTAAAGGTCACTTCCTGTTGCCAGCAGGTGGCGCTATGACTGTGGGTGAATGTCGGCATGTAGATTTGTTCAGGGCGGGACTCTTGTCAAATGTGTAAAATTTCGTGCAGATCTGGGCATTTACAGCCAAGTTACTACAACTTCCTGTTTCATGGCGAATCTTCGACGCCACGGACACGCCCATCGACGAAAACGCGCAGATAGCACAACTTTACATCGTCAATGCCTTTAGAAGGCACAGCAGAAATTTGAAGTCGATCCGACTAAATCCCTAGGAGGAGTTCGTTAAAGTACGGAGTGTGTAAATCGTCCAAAAATGGCCGCCAAATTCAAAATGGCGGACTTCCTGTCGAGTTTAGGGTATGGGTTCTTGAGGCTTTTTTGTGCGTCTTGATATGATACACGTCCCCACCAAATTTCGTGCATGTAGGTTGAACGTGGACGAGGGGCTAATTATTTCCAATTTTCTAGGTGGCGCTAGCGAGCCATTTTGCCCCGCCCATCCGCGAAACCCACAAAATACGAAATTTTTCACCAGTCCTGACATGAGTGCCAAATTTGGTGAGTTTTTGAGCATGTTGCGGCCCCGAAAATGGCGCCTACTTTGCAGAAAAAAAAAAGAAATAAAAAAGAAAAAAAATTAAAGCTGCAAGCAGCGATGGGCGGGCCCTCGCACCTGTAGCACGTCGGGGTCTGAGGCGGCCGTGTTGCATTTTCTGCAGCTCAGCCAGTGCGGATGTGCATTTGCTATGCTGCTACGTTAAAGGTCACTTCCTGTTGCCAGGAGGTGGCGCTATGACTGTGGGTGAATGTCGGCATGTAGATTTGTTCAGGGCGGGACTCTTGTCAAATGTGTTAAATTTCGTGCAGATCTGGGCATTTACAGCCAAGTTACTACAACTTCCTGTTTCATGGCGAATCATCGACGCCACGGACACGCCCATCGACGAAAACGCGCAGATAGCACAACTTTACATCGTCAATGCCTTTAGAAGGCACAGCAGAAATTTGAAGTTGATCCGACTAAATCCCTAGGAGGAGTTCGTTAAAGTACGGAGTGTGTAAATCTTCCCAAATGGTCGCCAAATTAAAAATGGCGGACTTCCTGTCGAGTTTAGGGCATGGGTTCAAGAGGTTTTTTGTGCGTCTGGTCATGGTAGATGTACCACAGAAATTTCGTACATGTCGGTCAAACAAGCGGCGGGGGCTGCTTCGTTAAAGGTCACTTCCTGTTGCCAGCAGGTGGCGCTATGACTGTGGGTGAATGTCGGCATGTAGATTTGTTCAGGGCGGGACTCTTGTCAAATGTGTAAAATTTCGTGCAGATCTGGGCATTTACAGCCAAGTTACTACAACTTCCTGTTTCATGGC